TCAGCAGCTCTGCTCAGCGACCCCGCACTAGCTATTTGGCGTCCCTGGGCCTCAGTTCCCAACACGTGCTGGTGGCGAGGGCCCGGCATAGAGAACGCGGCTCTAGGAGCCTGCCGTCTCTGGAGGCCCCCAGCCCAGCAGCTGCACGTGGGGCCTTGGAGCCTCCGAGACGCTATTGGCTGCGCGCTACCCCGCCCTCTCTCGCCGCTGGTCCACACATTCGGGCGGGAAAAGGAGCTGGTTTCAAATTTGAAAACCCAGGCGGTGGGGGCGGGGCTAAGCGGGGAGCGGGGCCGCAGTGCGCAGGCGCCATGAAAGGAGCAGCGATCCTTCTCTGCGCTCCCGGGTCTGCGCCTGGCCCGCTGGCCTTCTGCCTCCTGGGGCCCCGCTGGGCTTCAGATTCCTGTTGTGACGAATGGGAGTCGTCTCCCAGCTTGTCCTGCTCACCTACAGGGGAGCTTCTGCCGCTACAAACCGTCAGTTGGGTGCCCGCTTCTAGGCGAACAGCCTGCTAGAGCCCTGAGTGCGGGAGCCAGCGGCGCTGGGTGTCTCCCCGGGCACTGCTGCTTCTCAGCTCCATGACTCGGCGAGTGACCTCCCTCCTGTCGGCTTGGGAAGCCCTGCACCTGCGCGGTTGAAGGCACAGAGCCCACGCCTCTGCCGTGCCCAGGAGGTAGGAGCTGCTCATTTCTACCGCAGGGCCACCAGGTGGCGGCTTCTTCCTCCTCCTCCGGAGCCCCGGTGACTCTGACCAGCAGGTGTGGCCGCACCTGCGGGCACAGGGACGCTCTGTGGGTGGAGGCAGGAAGATGAAAGCAGGTGTTTGGGGTGTGGCATTTCTGCCAGGTGGGGGGCTGAGTCTGTGAACCGGCAATAGAGAAGGGGAGGGGGGGACAAAGAGGAATCAGATTCTTAATAAAGACATAGAGCTGGGTAAGTATCGCACATGGAAGTCAGTCCTCAGTTCCTTGGAGTTTCTCTGAGTCACTCCCAGAGAAATCACTTGACAGGCTCAGCCAGGAACTGAGCCATTCGCCCATCCCTTCACTCACCAAAAATTTGCTGAGCACTTACTGGACCCCAGGAACTGTGCTGGGGCCAGAGAATAGAATCATTGGCCAAACCAGACAGGGTTCCTGCCTTTGCAGAGCTCACAGGCGAGGCAGGGAGAGATGGACATAGAGTTACAGTTTTGACAGGTCCTCACGGGAAAAGACACAGTGAGAGGGCATATCTTCAGGAGCATTTGATCTAAACAGGGAGGTCAGAGAAGGTTTTTCTAGGGAAAGGAGGAATAGGTGTTATCTATGTATAGGAAGGATGTAGAAGAATTCCAGACAGAGGAACAGCAGGTGCAAAGGCCCTGAGGCTGAAAGGAGGCTGACTGAAAGACAGCCACTGTGGCTAGCTAGCATAGAGAGAGCAAGGAACAGGTGCAGGCTGATGCTGGAAGGGTGGGCAGGGCTCAGAACAGGCTGATGTTCCCCAGGTCCCCACCCGCACTTAGTTATGTCTGAAAAAAGGAGTCACAAGGCTTGTAAGTGAATTTCCAATTTTATTTCACTGAAGTCTGCACCCACATAGCGCAGGCACAAACCCACTGGTCAAACATCGGGGACACAGATGGCCTGGTGCGGGGGTGGGATGAAGAGAGGGATTCTGAAGGAGTGAGTCCCTGGCAGAGGAAGGGAGTGAGGCTCACTTCCACAGCTGGAGATGCTCCCACGGGAGGTGTGGAAGTGAGTCGGGCTGCATGGGGCTGGAGTGACCACCCTGAGGAGTCCGGGCTTCCTCCTAGGAGCCATGGGTAGGGTTCACACTAGGGAACAATATGGAGGCTAAAAACAGCCTGGCCTCAGGCCTCCCATGAATATAGCTCAGGGCCACAAGCCAGGGGGACAGGAAGTCATACCTCCCAGGGAGCTGGACAGATGGGGAAGATGGAGCCCCTGCCCCAAGCCCTTAGATGCTCTTCTAGGCCCCTCTGAGAAAATGCTAGTGCTGGTACCTTCTGGGTACAGGACTGAGCAAAGGACCTCTGGTTCTCCGACCCTCTTAGCACTGACTTAGAATCTCTGTCCCAGGCCCACAGGTCCGACAGGGTCCAGCCTGGATAGTGCAGCCCCGTGGCCGCCCTGCCAGCTCCCTATCCCGTGGCCTTGCCTGTCCACAGTAACTGTGGCTGTGCTACCTGCACGTCAGTACAGGTTCTGTTGGAACTAGTGTCCTCTGGGCGCTAAGGAACAAAGCCTACATCTGTGCCCTGAGGGGAGGGAGAAGGGGACCCACACCCTGCTGCTTTGCCCTAGTCAGGACCCCCTGAAGAGGGCAGCTTACAGGAGCCTCAGCTCCAGGCTCACCATTCTCTCCAAGGAGATGGGGTCCTGCTGTCCCCCCAAAAGCCTTTCACCACTTCCCTGCGGGTGAGAGTAGTGGTGGAAGGGGAGGGCAGAAATGGGCAATATTAGATCTGGAGCCTGGCTCAAACCCTGGACCCCTACCCAGCCCCTTCCCTGGGCTCCCTGCCCCAGTTTCTCCCACTTCACTCAATCCTCCTCCCTTCCCAGAGAGTAGCATTCCTTAGTGGCGGAGCTGGCCAGGTCATGCCCTTGGCGAAAGCCCCACTGACTCCCTGGCTCTCAGGACAAAGTTCCGGGAATTTAAGCTAAGCTGCGCCCTTCCTCCTGCTATGTCAGCTAACATGCCATGCCCTTGCCCATCTACCAGCTTCCACCAGCTCAGCTTAAATGTCACTTCCTCCAGGAAGTGTCCAGGCTTCCCTCCACAAGACATCTTCTGGAAAACAGCAGTGTTCCCCTGTCCCTCGGGGTCAGCCTCTTCCACCTGACTCTGACCGAAGTGACAGAGGAAACCAGTGTTGGGAAAGGAGAGGGGGGCCTGGCTGGGCCTGGGTCTCCGTGCCCACAGAAGGCTGTTGGTGTAGCATTCAGCAGACCCCCAACTTGGAAGCCACTGCGGGAACGCCATCCCAGGCTGTCTGGGCAGCGCAGCACAATGGTTAACGTGGTCACGGGGCCAGGAAGTCCCTCACTTGAAACTGCAGGTGACTAGACCATGAGGCCTGGCTAGTCCAAGTCTCAGAAGTGGCTGACAGTTACCTTGGGGATTGAGGTGGGCGGCACCAGGAAGAGGCCTCTGTAAGAGCTGTAACATGTCCACTTATTGATTCCTGATGTCGGTGGTTTCTCTCCTTCTCTATCTTCTTGCTAAATCTTACTAAGAGTTTGTCAACTTTATTAGTCTTTTCAAAGAACCAGTTTTGGATTTTATTTGCTCCTTTGTTCCTAGCTTCTTAAGATGGAAAGGTAGATAACCCATTTTATTCCTTCTTTCTGCACATTGCTTTATCTGCATCCCACAAACTTCCATGTATTATAGTTTTGTTTGTTTTTCTTTTTTTTTAAATTCTCACCTGTGGATATTTGCCAAGGTACATGCCCTTGACCGGAGTCAAACCTGGAACCCTTTGGTTCACAGGCTGACGCTCTATCCACTGAGCTAAACCAGCCAGGGCTTAATACATTCTTCTGATTAGTGTTCTTGTATGTTTTTCCCATCTTTTTGCTTTTAACCTATTAGTGTCTTAATATACAGCATGTTTTTTTCTTGCAAACAGCACATTGATGTTGTTTTTTCTCCCCATGATCTGATAATCTCTGCCTTTGGATTGTGTTTAATAAAATTATTTTGATATGGTTGAGTTTAAGGTCTATCAGCTTAATTTTTATTTTGCATTGGTTCTATCCTTTTCCTTTTTTTCCTTCTTTTCTGACTTCTTTTGGATTGAGTTTTTATTATCATTCCATTCTATATCCACAACTGGCTTCTTATCTGCACCTCTTTTAAGTGGTTACTTTATTTTTTATTTTTAAAAAATATTTTTTTTTATTGATTTCAGAGAGGAAGGGAGAGGGGAAGAGAGACAGAAACATCAAAGCTGAGAGAGAATAATTGAACAGCTCCTACTGTATATCCCCAACTGGGGATCGAGCCCAGAACCTGGGCTTGTGCCCTGACCGGGCATCTAACCATGACCTCCTAGTTCAGCCGTGGGCAAACTACGGCCCGCGGGCCAGATCCGGCCCGTTTGAAATGAATAAAACTAAAAAAAAAAAAGACCGCACCCTTTTATGTAATGATGTTTACTTTGAATTTATATTAGTTCACACAAACACTCCATCCATGCTTTTGTTCCGCCCTCCGGTCCAGTTTAAGAACCCATTGTGGCCCTCGAGTCAAAAAGTTTGCCCACCCCTGTCCTAGTTCATAGGTCATACTCAACCATTGAGCCACCAGGCCGGGCTGCCTTCTAGTTTTTGTTTTTTAAATCTTTATCGTTGAAAGTATTACATATGTTCCCTTTTTTCCCCCATTGACTCCCTCTAGCCCACCCCTGCCCTGCACCCCAGGACTTCACCACCCTATTATCTGTGTCCATGATATGCATATATGCATACAAGGTCTTTGGTTGATTACCTCCCACTCACCCATCCTCATCCTCTCCTGCCTTCCCTCAGATTCCACACTCTGTTCCATGCTTCCATGTCTCTGGATCCACTTAGTTCATCAGTTTATTTTGTTATAGATTCCACATATGAGATCCTGTGATACTTGCTTTTTTCTGACTTATTTCACTTAGCATGATATTCTCCAGGTCCCTCCATAGTGTAAATGTGCTACAGCTTTTTTAATCTACTTGTTTATTTTTTTTTTTTAATATATTTTATTGATTTTTTTACAGAGAGGAAGGGAGAGAGATAGAGAGTTAGAAACATCGATGAGAGAGAAACATCGACCAGCTGCCTCCTGCACATCTCCCACGGGGGATGTGCCCGCAACCCAGGTACATGCCCCCAACCGGAATCGAACCTGGGACCCTTCAGTCCGCAGACCGACGCTCTATCCACTGAGCCAAAGCGGTTTCGGCAATCTACTTGTTTATTGATGGACACTTGGGCTGTCTCCAGATCTTAGCTATTATAAATTGTGCTGCTATGAACATAGGGGTGCATAGATTCATTCTGATTGGTGTTTCCGGTTTCTTAGGATATATTCCTAGAAGTGGATCACTGCGTCAAATGGCAGTTCCATATTTAATTTTTTTGAGAAAATCCATACTGTTTTCCCTCATGGCTGCACCAGTCTGCACTCCCACCAGCAGTGTACTAGGGTTCCTTTTTCTCCACATCCCCACCAGCACTTGTCATTTGTTGATTTATTGATGGTAACCATTCTGACAGGTGTGAAGTGATACTTCATTGTCATTTTAATTTGCATCTCTCTGATGATCAGTGACTTTGAGCATTTTTTCATGTCTCTTGGCCATCTGTATGTCCACTTTGGAGAAGTGTCTATTTAGGTCCTTTGCCCATTGTTTAATTGGATTGTCTTCCTTGTAAGTTGTAGGAGTTCCATATATATTTTTGGATATTACCCTTTATCAGATGTTATCATTGCCAAATTTCTCCCATACAGTGGACTCCTTTCTCATTTTGTTGGTTTCTTTTGCTATGCAGATGTGTATTTAGATGTAGTCCCGTTTGTTAATTTTCTGTTTCCTTGCCCTCGATGTATCTGAAAACATATTGCTATGTGTATGGTGTTTGTGGTCTAGTTTCATTTTTTTGCATGTACCTGTCCAATTATCCCAACACCACTTATTGAAGAAACTGTCTTGACTTCATTGTATGCTCTTGCCTCCTTTGTCAAATATTGAGTATAATGGCTTAGGTAGATTTCTGAGTTCTCTGTTCTATTCCATTTATCTATATGCCTGTTCTTGTGCCAGTACCAGGCTGTTTTGATTAGAGTGGCTTTGTAGTATAGCTTGATATTTGGTACTGTGATCCCTCCAACTTTGTTTTTCTTTCTCAAGATTGCTGCAGCTATTCAGGTTCTTTTTTGGTTTCATATAAATATTTGGGCTACTTGTTCTATATCTGTGAAATATGTTGTTGGTATTTTAATAGGGTTTGCATTGAATCTATAGATTGCTTTGGGTAGTATGAACATTTTAAAGATGTTAATTCTACCAATCCATGAACACGGTACATTCTTCCACTTGTTTATATCTTCTTTTTTCCAACGTTCTGTAGTTTTCTGAGCACAAGTCTTTAACCTCTTGGTTAAGTGTATTCCTAAGTGTCTTAATTTTTTTCTTGCAATGGCAAACGGTATTGTTTCTTTAGTGTATTTTCTGAAAATTCATTATTGGTGTATAAAAATGCCATTGATTTCTGGGTGTTAATTTTGCATCCTGCTACATTGCCAAATTCACCTATTAAACCTAATAGTTTTTTAGTGGAGTCTTTAGTGTTTTCTATGTACAATATCATGTCATCTACCAATGAGTTTTATATCCTCCTTTAAAGTTTGGATGCCTTTTTTCTTCTTGTCTGATCGCTGTGGCTAGGACTTCCAGTACTATGTTGAATAAGTTCTTACTCTTCATCTACTCCTATATTATCTGTTTTTTACAACGAGAATCTAATTGACTGTTAATTACAAAAGGCCTGGTTGCAGCAGTTTTAGGGTTACTTTTGCTTTTAAAATGGAGACTCAAATGTTACTGAACTGAGTGCGAAGACACTGAAGATGGCTCTGGACCAGACGAGGACACACTGCTCCAAGTGGGGGGGTGGGGGGAGGTCGGGATGGTCAGGAGGGGAGGACTGCACAGCAGCAGAAGGCCACAGCCTGGGTGGAGAGAACCATGAAAGCTGCCAAATGGCAGCGCTTCTTGTCAGCTGCTGGCTTTCTTCCACTCCCTGTGCCATCTCTCCCTTCGAGACACCCCAAAGGGAATACCACTACCGACCCCAGCCTGTCCCTGCACCCAATCTCCTCTAGATCATCCTGGAGCCCCCTGCAGTTTCCCTAGGCTGAGGTCACAGCTTCTGCATGGTACCTCAAATTCTCCCACCAGACCCTTTCAGCGAGCGGCCAGAGCAAATGAGAGGTGGCACAGGAACAGAGCACCTGTCCCAACGACTCCGTGCTGTGACACTGGGCCAGCTTTGCTTGACCCAAGGCTGTGTCTCCCTGGAGCAGGGAGCACAGCACCTGCCGCGGGGATGAGGCTGAGAGCTGGTAAGCCTGGCTATCTGGAAGGTGTGTGAAGAAAACAAAAAGCCCTTCAGGGCAGTCACACAGGGTGGTTATTTCACTTTATTTAGCACATGTCGGTCTCACGCTGGGCCCCACCAAACTGCTCCCCTAAGCCTTACTCGAGGGTCTGCCTTGGGAGGCTCAGAGGTGAACATGAAGGCCCAGGTTCCACAATCACCTCCTCTTCTGCCACACATGCAGTGCAGCACAGAAATCACTGCTCATGTCCTCAGGCACCACCTGTGTGGTCGGGGAAGGTCTCCAATGTTCAAGGCCACCTACAGGGGCCCCAGCTCAGCTCCAGCCACAGGCCCACTTGCTCTTGAGATGCTGGCAATGGGCAAGGGCCTCTGTCCATGGCTGTGGGAACACCAACCCCTTACTCCCCAGCCCTACAGCCTGTCCCTGCTGGGCAAGAAGCAATATGTATGAAAATACTTTAATTATTTCTTTTAAACTGTTAAGAAATAAGGTCATCTTGTTTTTCTTTTACAATCCCAGTAAAAAAAAAAAGTTCACATTAGTGCAGGGGGCCAACACCAGGCCCTCCCCAGCCGAGCACTGGCCACTCAGTAGAAACGCTTGTTGCGCTCCTGCCGCTTCTGAAACACCACGGCCCCCACTACGGCACACACGATGATGCCCAGGAGCGCACACAGCAGCAACAGGAACACCCGCCACCCCGTCAGGGGCCCGCTGCGGAAGTTCCCCGTCGGGTCATCCACGTTGTCTGAGGGAAGAGAAAGGGGGAGTTGACGTGAGTGTTAAAGCAGCTGACAACAGGACAGAGCAGGGCAGAGGCCCTGGTGGGGTCCCATCCCCGTCCCCATCCCCAGGTGGCTGCACACAGCTGTACAGTGAGGGGCAACCCTGAGGATCCCAGAGATCAAGGCCTGGGGTGCCTCTCAGCTGATGGACATTGGATTCCTGGGCTTCCCAGGAGCCCCGTCTGCCCGGGGAGACCTAGAATCTGCTTTCACAAGCCCACCCCCTCCCCAGTGCAGTGGTCTGAGTTCCCCATTTGCAGAAACACACCCTGGCCAAACATTGCCCTGACTCACACCTGGATGCATCTGGTGGCTCCTAGGGTGTCCCAGGCCTCCACCCTGTCCTTCTGTCCTGGCCACATCACTCCCCTGCCCGCTCACCCGTCAATGAGTGCCAGGTCTGTAATTCCAATCAGGGATACAGCTCTCCTCCCAGGCAGGCCTGGAGTACCAACCATGAGCCCACCAACACCCTCCCTTCCCAAAAGACCTGACCCAGTAAGCCTGCTGTCCCGCCACCAGCCCCTTTCTACCCCTGCACAGTGACAATAATGGCTTTCGACTGAACCAGGAGCTCCCAAGTAGAGGCACTTCCAGGAGGCGGCTCAGCCTCAGGGCTCCTGGGGCTTCCAAGCCCTTCCTGCCCCCTTCTTCGCTTTAGTCACTAGACTGCGCAGAGGCCCACAGGCATGACCTCAGGGTGGATTTCTTCACACACAGGGGCCTCAATTCTCCAACCAAAACCCTCACTCTGTGAGGACAAAGTCATGGCTAATTAGTGCCACAGCAAGAGCCCGGGCTTTGGGGTTTTGCCAAAACTCAAGTTCAGATCCTGCCTTTATCCGCTTGTCCCTGAGGAAAACTGAAGGACCAGTTCCCTAGCCTAGTGGCAGGACCCGCTTTCCAGGCCATTCACTGAGGTCCTGCACGTGCACGATCAGTGCCCTGCCCATCACCTACACCAGCAAACTGGCCCCCTGGGGGCTTTACCTGCCCTTATCCCAGCAGACTCCAGGTGCCCACACACTGCTCATTAGCATGGCTTGCTAATCCAAGAGCCCAGGCCACACCACAGCCAGACCCGGCAAAGGCAGAGGGACCATAGGCAGGCACCAACGCTGGCCCTGGCCCAGCCCCAGTCCTGCACAGGCCCAGACTGGGAGGGACAGCAAACATACCTTTAGGCGACTTGAGGAAATTGACGCTGGGCTCGATTTTGGTCCAGTCAATGTTCTCCTCCTCGGGGGTGTGCTCTACCATAAGCTGGAACAGCTTCATGGAGATGATGTCGTGATTGTCTGCAGGGCCAAGTGTTAGCTTGTAAGAGGCCTGAGGCCATGGTCCATGCATCTCGCTGCCACGTACAGTGGCCACATTCCCCAGGGAGAACCCTGCTCCTGCCTGGCTGAGGGCTCGGCCCTGATACACGGTCAGCACCTGAGGAGACTTGGGAATGGCCCAGTCCAGACTGGAAAAACCTCTGCTCGACAGTAACTGATCGCCCCATTTCTGAGATTAGGAGGTTGAGGCTAAGAGCCAATGTAAGGGTCCCAGCTGTCAGCTTTGCTAACCTAATGGAAAAGGCCTGGAAAAGGAAGAGCCTAAAGAGCAAGGACCTGGTGGCCAGGTGGACAGAGCCAAGCGGGCGGCACTAGTATGTGCAGCCCCCAAAGGCCCAGGGACACACACTGACTGAAGTCAGACTACAGTTCCCATCTGAGCTCTGCCACCTCCTGGGTGTAAACCTGGGGAAATTCCTTCAACATTCATATTCCAAATGGTCTCCACTGTGTGAAAAGGGAGAGACCACTAGCTACCTAAACTACATCACGTGACTTTACAGAGAGAGTGCAGGCGTCTGGGGGGAGAGGGGGGCGGTGTACAATTTTAAACAAGGGAATCAGGGAAGGCCCCACGGAGGAAGTGACATCTGATCAAGACAAAGATGAGAGTGAGACACAAGCACAAAGGCCCGAGGCAGGAGGGCACTAGTGTGAAGAGCTGGAGGCAATGTGAATGGGGACAATGTAAATGGGGAGTTGGGAGCAAAGAATCAGAGGTGATGGCACTAAGGCCTGGCAGGCCACTGCTGGGACGAATGGTGGCTTGACTCTGAGGGAGCAGAGCCACTGCAGAACTCTGAGCGGAGCAGCAGTGACACCTCATGTGAACTTTAATGAGATCACTCTGGCTGCAGAGCTGGGAGTGACTGTTGGGGCTGGCATGGAAGGAGAGGACCACTTGGGGGCTCCTGCAGTTGTCTGAGTGAGGCAGGATGGTGGCCAGGGCCCTCCAGGTAAACGAGGAGTGAGAGATGGTCTGCTGCATTGCAAAGACGAAGCTGGCAGGATTGCCCATGGATGACAGGTGGCATGTAAGAGGAAAGGAAAGTCTAGAATGACAATAAGGTTTTTAGCCCAAGCAACTAGGACAGAGGTGTCATTTATGTCTTGGTTGCAGGCTTGAGCCCCAATGGAGGATGTGCAGGAGGCATCCAATGAACAATTCTCTCTCATCATTGATGTTTCTATCTCCTTCTCCTTCTCCCTTCCTCTCTGAAATCAATAAAATAAAAATATATTTTTTTAAAAAAAGATATGGTCTTCTTGTTGTGGGCATGTAAAGACAGACACCTATTGGGCTCCAGGCGGAGATGTTGGGAGGGCTGTTGATCACACTGTGCTGCAGATGGAAATCTGGGGTCTGTAGTGCCCTGTGCTCACAGACAGCCCTGTGTGTGCCAAACTGACGATGCAAAGAGGAAGAAGACACAGGCGAGTGTGGAACCAATGCTGGAAGGAAAGTGACCGGCTGTGTCACAAGCTCCCAACAGACCAGGGAAGGTCAAAACTAAGACTTATTGCCCTGTTCCGCCCACTCACCAGATAGGTCACCGGTGCCAGCAGAGGCTCCAAAGTAGTAGCCGGTGGGGAGGCGCACTCCCGTGATGTCAATGCAATTCTTCCACTCGTTCTTGTCCTCCAAGTCAGTCATCACCTGCAGCCAATCAGCAGGTAAAGCATGCCCCAGGCTCAGACTGCCCATCTACCCCTGCGGAGCCAGCACAGGCAGAGGACAACCCCACCACCACCACCTGCTCACCGTCAGACGGCCCCGGGAGTAGCGTACAGCCAGAAAGGTGTCATGATCACGGTTGCGGAAGTCAGCCGTGCAGCCTGCCAGCTCGGTCCAGCGGCCATCCTTACTATGGTCGTAGGACAGGGAGCCATTGTTCACCATCACCGAGATGTACGGGAACACACGCTGAGACCAAGACACCGGTTACTCTATGGCCAGCCCAGCTTTTGGAAATGGCTGGGGCACCCACCACCCCAATCCCTGGAGGCTCCTTTGTGCTGGGACCAGGGAGAAGTCCCAGCCCTCAGCCAACTGCCCAGCCTTCCTGTCCTGCTCTATGGGAGAGAGCAGGGGCCTACCTCTGTGGCCTCATCATTGGGATACGTGTCCAGGAAGATGGCTAAACCGTGGAAGTTGTCTTTGCTTCCAAACACAGGCCCTGGAATGAGAGAGAGATGCTCTAGTCATGTAGAACATTGGGGTTGTACTCTGGGGAGCCTAAAGGACACAGTAGTGCCAGTGGGGGCAAGAGATGGCAATCTGTTGGTCTTTCACCCAAGAAAGAGAAGAGATCTCTAAAGAAAGCACCTGGAGGTGGTCTCAGGGATGTGACAGAGAGGACTCAAGTTTGAAGCCTGAACTGTGAGGGGACAGCACCTGGCGATGTGCTCTGCCGTATCAAGTGACAGGATGGTACCCAGCCTGTGAAAAGCAAGTGGCTACCAGGAAGCCCTATCCTCTAATCCAGGGGTCAGCACCTTTCTGTCCAGGTCCAGAGAGGAAAGATTTTGGGCTTTGTGCGCCACATACAGTTTTAGTCAGTCTTCCTTGCTTTTGCTTTTTAAAACATAACCCTTTAAGATGGTAAAAAAAATTCTTAGCTGGTGTACAACACCAGGCCACCATGGGGTACAGCAGCACCCAGCCCCTCCTCTTCTCAAAGGTCCCAGGCTTCCTCACAGAAGAGCAGCAGCACCCTATCAGCAGAGCAGAGAATACTTGGCACAGAGGCTCCCACATACGGGAGCGCAGCCCTACCTGACACGAGGCGGTCGCGAGTGTACCACAAGGCAATGCCGTCTCCATGGAGATTCTTCTTGCCAGCACCGTGGACTTTGAAGTGGACATGCATCTCCCAGTCTTTGAGGAAGCAAGGCTGGAGGGAGAGTAGAGAGAGTTGCTCTGAGTGCTCTGGGCCTTCCTGCCAGTTGGCGGTGACCGGGCACAGACCCTGTCACTGAGACTAGGC